GTATAGTCTCGAGCAGCTGTTAATCTGTTTCTGCCAAAACCACTGCAGAATGTGGTGGTGATGTTGCCCTCCCAGAGCAGAGATTTGTAGAGGCAAAGTAAAAGCAAAACTCTAATTCATCAAAATATTTTAATACCATAGAGCTCCTCTGAGCGTATCAGGGCTCAGCAGATGTGAAAGCCCTTTGTAATTCAGAATGTAAAAGTTAAAGGGGKTGCTGAGAGAGAGAAGCAACTAGGAGACAGAAAGCAGGTAATCCTTAACTTCAACTTCACTTATCATAAACGAATTTTGATTTAATCTGTACTGCAAGCTGAGCATGAGCTGGTCTACCCAGAAAGCAGCCAGCAGTGATAGGGACATGGTTTTCCTGGGATTTGTGAGGAAAGAGAGTGTCTAATTTCCGCAGTYGGATGCCGAGGAGCTGGGAGGCAGACAACTCTTATGAAAGGAAACAGCAGGAAATAACAGTGACCACCAGGCTTCAGGGAGAGCTCTTTGAAGATGTTTTTAAAGAGACTGCTATGGTTAAGTCCAGATTTAAGTCACTAAAACTATGAACTGTGAACCTGTGGCCAGATGGGACAATGTTTTCTGACAGTCCAAGAAGACCAGGGAGCAATGCTGTCAGGGATAGAAGAGCTCAGTGCAGGAGGCTGCAAMCTTTCARAGCTSATTTACCTCTGTGTATGGATAAATGTGTCCCAAATCAACAACTAGATGTGCCAGTTACAAAAGCTGCCTGCCAGAGACAAGGGTTACCTCTCATCCATCTGTCTGGTGTAGGAGATCTCAGTCCTAGCTGGGTTTGGAGCTGAGTGGGAGCCAGGAGCTACTGCCACTCCCAGAAACTCCTCTTAGGATGCTCAAGTTCCCAGTCCCCSAGTCATCCATGTGCTACTGCAAATCTGTTGTCCACTGGTTTTCTGTCCTACATCTCCAATACTGCAGGAGACCAACCTGCAGAGCTGAGCTGGAGAATGGGTACTTGCTGGCACTACTTGAGACTTGTCCTCCCTGGGATTCTCCTCAGCTCCTCAAGACTCCAGGCCTGTGTCAAAGACTCACACATGGAAATATTCATGAACATATTTATCTTCAAAGAAAGCACATACATTCTGTCTACTTGTAAGCATTTTGTGTGGCAAACAGGGAGATATTATGAAGTTACATTGTCAAACAAGACACAGGTTTGTTAAAAAAAAAAAAAAAAAAAAAAGAGTCCTCAATCTCTTCTTTATAGGAGCTGTCTTCAGAAACACCACCTGAATCTCAGGACAAAGTCCTTGATGGACACCACTTCTGAGGGCTGAGGAGTTCTCAGCTCATGTGTAATAGCTGAACCTCACACAACCACTCCAGACCTATTTCTTGCATTTTTACATGTATATTATAGTTTCTTCCAGTTACAATCTACTTTTTCCTAGCAGAAAACTAACTTATGGCTTTAGTAATATMTATCATCAATCTTATTTATTCCATCTATTTCCAGGTAATTATATATAAAGTATTTCTTAGTCTATATTTGGATGGCCTATTTAGAGATGAATGGATTCCTTCCAGAATGGCAATGACCTTTCTGTGACTCAAACATTAATTTTCTAAATGGCATCACAGGTGAAATACCTTATATATCATCATAATTAACAAGATACACCCTATTAATGGTCAGAAAACATGCTTTTCATAATTATAAACAGGATCCTTTCTGAGATACAAACTTCCCCTCTGCTATGAATAGTTAGTCAATACCATTGGATGTATCCACAGTAAAACCTACTAAAACCCTATTCAAAAAGCAACTTTAATTGCCAGCCTCACATATGCTAAGCACCCACAAAATGTAGATTTTAGAGACAYTACATTTCAGAACTACTCAGAGATTCATCTGCTACAGTATGACAAATCTCTTGTTTGAAAGGACAACTGGCATTATAGGCTAAATTGATCTGCCTGCTCTCCTAACTTCGTTAAAGTCAACTCTGCTTGTGATGTCTCTGAGCACAGAAAAACTTGTAAACTGCTCTTCCTACTCTCTCATTAATTGTAAATTAAGGGTCAGGGGATGACGTGTTTTCTAGTAAAACTTAGAGGAAGGATTACAAGAATAAAGAATGAGGCAGGGTGGAGAATAACTGTTCTATAAGAGGAGCTCCTTAACGGAATTAAAGCACCTCAAGTAAAGAGACAAAGGACAAAAATTCCATTACACCAAGGTGAGTTCTGATCCCAGCAGATCYTATGAGCAAGACTGTATCTGACAAGAGATCAGCAAAGGAAAGTGATGTTGGGAGAGCACTGGTAATTCAGAGAGTGGTGATTTTTCTTCTGCAGTAGCACTGGGTCGATAGCTCAGCCAAGTACCAGTGAGCATTGTGCTTTCAGCTGGAGCATGGGAGGTGTTACATGGAGCCTGCCATGACCCGTGGAGCTCTGACTGCTTCTAACAGCTGAGAGGTTTATTCCAGGATCCTGTCCAAACAATAACATATTGAACAACATCCTGCCTAACCTCCTGGTCCCATTAATTTGAAGGGGGAAGCAGAGCCTTTGTTTTCCCACTGAAAAAGTCGTGAGGGGCAGAACAACACCTGCATTCTGCCAAACTGAGAGTTATTCATCAGACAAATTGTTACTGGGATGGGAGACAGGGATATTTAGCTCAATAAACATAATTTTCTCCCAAACCTTCCTGACTTTCAAGAACAGAATTCACATTTATTGAATTGTTATAGGATGATAAATTTTCTATTATCTTTATTAAAAGCTGTATGATGAAAAAGTGCTAAAAAGTATGGGAGAGTTATTGCTTTAGTGGATTAATTCATGACCATTTTTCACAAACATACCAGAGGTATCATGAAGTAACGAGTGCAGATTGGAAAAAAATAGTGATGACCATGGCTGCTATTGAACATAAYTACAAAATAACTTTTGAGACACATAAACAGAATGTTTAGTTCCTGCAGAAATGTATATGAGGTTAAAATCCCTTAAGAATGAGAATCTTGCCCTTGACAAATTGGTAATTGTCTTTTCAATTGGCATAGTTTATGTTATTTTATGTACTTATTTTTTTTACTACAAAGGCCAAATTCAAAGATGTAATTTCTTTCAACAATATTTTGATAAAAGAAATTCCAAATATCTAAAATCAGCAGTCATGCTATATTTACAAAGATTAGAAGAGCTTGTAGATTAATAGGATTTTAAGGTATTATTTGCAAAATTGTGCTGGTTTTATGATGTTTTTCTGGTTTCATATCAATACCATTAAAATGTAAGGTATTTTTGTATTTGTATTAAATATAAAGGGTAAACAACACAGATTTTGTTTATATTTAATTTGTAGTCCTGTTTCTCTTTCTGGTTTCCATAAAATGTTTTCCTTTTTTAGCACTCAGCAAAGAGATTTGTTGCCTRTGTTTGTGCATAATTGCACATGGGAATATTTCTATACAACTTTTCAGCCTTGCAAAAGCCTTCTAAATTAACATTGTTATAAGAAGCATGGTGTTCAGACAATAAAGACCTATAAACAAAAGAATAAAATTATTGATCTATTTGTATTTAAATTGCATGTGTACAGCAATTTTGATCAAAAATAGTCTAATAAGAGCTGGTTAATGATACATTTTTACCATTCTTTAAGMGGGAGAAACCCTATTGTCACATGTCAACCAAATACTCAGATTACAATCCTGAAGAAAACTGTGAATTGAGTTATTACTGTGGCAAAGCTAATGCTTGCTCAAACACCATCATAAAACCTGATTATAGGTCTAATGGACTTTGCTACAAACTCTGAATCTRGAAATCTCCATTTAAAGAAAGGAATGGCTGGCTGTTGGGAGTGATAAAGCTTTCTTTGTTTACTTTAAAAGAAGCGGTTTTCTAATATGTGAAATTATGCATCACCACTTTTCCTAAATAAAATTCAAAGGTTCCAAATCCTGTTTTTATTTGTATTTTGTAAAGTGATAACTGCCATCTTCTGTCCTTTAACTCTTCTTCAGGCCAACAGTGATGGTGACYGGCTCTGAGGACTTGGATTCCTCAGAGGACTGTGAAGACCATGGGAGTCAGACTGCTGTGGCTCATGTGGGAAACCCACTGTCAGGAATTTCATCAGCCCAAAATGGGACACAATTTTCTACACAGAGTCAAAAATCAGTGCTTCAGATTATTTACCAGAAAGAATTGAAGCAGAATTTTCATTTACCTGATGGTGTGAAACGCAGGGTCACAGAATGGGTCAGGTTGGAAATGTCCGTARTGGGTCATCTGATCCCACCTCCAGGCAGGGTTATCCCACACCACATGGCACTGGATTGCACCCAGAGGGATTTTAAACAAACCTAGCTGTGTTTTGAGTCCAACCTGTGCTAGAGATTGAATCTAAATTGCACCACAGTGTGCCACCCAGGCTGGATCTATTCTATTTTAGCTACAGTTGAACCCCAACCATTACAGACATATTAAAATAATTGGTARCTCTATGAATAAGTTTTCCTGAAAGGGACCATAATCTGGGATTTACAGAAAACTCTCCAGACACATTTGGAACCTGATCTTACAAGGTATTGAGCATCTTGGATTCCCAATCAGCAGACATAAATGATGCTTAATATCTTAACAGGAGACTTTGGAAGAYATTAAGCATCAAGACCACAAACTTTCTATTCTACTATTCTTCATCTTCTAAAAAAAATATTTCAATGCCATATGCATTTTTTGATAAAATCCTATTTTAATGACAAAATCCTTGCTGAAATTCCTACTTTGTTGCACATCTCTTTGAGGATTTTCCAGTACTCATTATACATCAKCTTCTCTGTCAGTAAGAAGGCATCCTCTAGAATAGGAAACAGMAAATAGAAAGATATTAAAATGTCAGAAGTTTATGTATATACATTGATATCCACATGTTTTATATTCGGGTTTGGCATCTGATTAATCAGATTTGTGTCTGTCTCAAAGGCTTATTTCTGTAAATTAAAAGTAATTACACGATCAAAGGCAATTAAATTCCAAAACTGGGAATATGTGTAAMAAAACTGAGGGAAGTGTGAATTCATTCATTTAAGAGGAAGAAAAACATAATTATTTAGACATAATAAAACAGAGATGATGTGTAATTGCCTGTCAAAATCAGGCTGATTATGGATAGTAATGACATTTTGCAAAAATCAGCATATTGATATAAAGTCTATGGATTAAGAGCAAATATCRTACCAGGAAGATCTAGAACTGGTGTCTTGGACAGAAGCTCACACGGGCTTTGAGGCACCTTTTTCTTTATCATGTTCTGTTATTAAAAAAAAGAGAATGCATTAGTGTTTTAGACTTACAACATTTTTACTGTTTAAAAGGCCTAAATGGTTTATTTGAAAAACATGTCATTACAGTAAAAAGTCACAAGAGAAGGAAATCTGAAATAACGCAGAGATGAGTCACATAAGATATAACCTTAGAAATACAGAACTGACAAGGATTTCTGCTCTTATTTCTTGCATTCCTGTGCAGCAGTTCTCCAACAGGACAGGTCCAGGTGGGACCAGCTGAGGAGCTAACAAGGGAGATGCATTTGGGAAAGATGAAGGCCAAGACAGCACTGAAAGATGCAGGCAGGAGGAAGAGTCTGCAGGGGAGGAAGTGAACATGCAGGAAGCAAAAACAGGGTGAGGACATTCCATAGGGAAGGCTCCCACCTCTCAACAGGGCCTTCCTCATGGGATGTGATCCAAAGAACAGGTGGCTGGCTTAACTTTGCAGTTCTTGAAGCCACACACTTCCTCTGCTCCAGTGAACAGCAGCCTCGTTCCCTCCTCACTCTGTTTTCACACCAAACTCCCACCTCCTGGCTGCACTTTCTGCTCCTTTCCCAAGGACTCTCCAGCAACACACCTCCCTCTGCCTCATTCCAGCCACATCATCCCTGGGGCATTATTTCTTATTTTGGGAACTACTGATCTGGTTCACCTCCTCAAATGAAGAAAGCAAACATGTATCTAGTCCATCCCTGACATCTATTCTCCAAGGCTTCTGATGAAGGCTGTTTCACAACATCCCTAATCTCTCTGTTTCAGTGCTTCACAGTCTTATTGCTCAGTTTCTTCCCTAATACTTAAGATAAATATTTATTGCAAATTAAAYTGATTTTAGTCTTGTTCTACCTTTTGCAGACACTAAGAGCAAYGGAACATTGTACTCTTTTAAAATAACTCTTTATAGCTTGAGAGACTATTTTCCTTTCTCTAATCTTCTCTTTTGGAGGCTAAGCGAATGTAGCCCCTTGAATATTTGAAAGGACCTCATGTTTTCTTAAATGGATCCTTCTCAATTTGTCACCATCTCTTTGTACTGTTATGCCTGAAACTGGACTTTATCTTTCAGTCACAGCAATACCAACAGTGCTTGTATGGCATCATAATTTAATTAATGGCCAAAGTAAATCATCCAGCTCTGGTAGGGGTGAAAAATAATGTTCAAAACWGTGTCTCTGCTGGTGCAATGTTTGGAACAGATTAAAACTACTGGACCACTCAAGACTCAATAAAATTTATGTTTTCTCATTTCATAGGCTTTTATTAAGCATAGTTGCTAACTAGGACTTTATCCATAGCTGCACGCAAGAAAAAACAGCATAAGTAAATCTGTGAAGAATATCTAAGAACTCTCATATGAAGACTCATTTTGTATGAGGGCAGTGTGTGTGTTAGTGGTTTACTCTGTACTTAACAACTGTAGTTATTCCAGGTAAAATGTTCTGATGCCAGGTCTAAAGTAAATCAACGGAAATTCCATTCCTAGCAGTCATTTACCATGACTAAATAAAAAAAAATCTAATAAAACCTTCACAGCTCAGTTTGGTTTAGGAACTCAACCAATGGGAAACAGCCAAGAGCCTTAGGCGATCCAGAAGTGCTTGCAGGGATCAGAACTATGCTGTCCCACCCCAGCTTTACACCAGCATGGTGTTACTGCTCTTTCCAGTGGATGTGCTTTGGTGAAAAAGTGGTGCAAAGTGGGTRACTCCAGTCCAGACTGTGTCTGGGTACAGTAACATCTGTATTTCCAAGGAAACACACGTAAAAGCACATTGCTGACAGCCACCGACACTGAAACATGTGAGAAACAGTGGGGATGTGCCATGACAAATGGGGAGTTACAGCAGAAATTGCTTTTCTCATGCACCTTTKGGCCTTTTGCCTTCACACTTGGACACCAACCTATCATTGGCTGATTAACAGCTCTGCCATCCTGGCACATATTAAGCATATCAAGGATAACTGATGGAATACTGAGCCTTAAATGTTTTCTTGGCATTTGTTTGGCCTGTGCTATTTAGACACAATAAAAGCATCTCATAATCATAATGATAATACATATATACCACCACGGATCACATCATCAAGCATTCTCGTCCCATCTTACTAGGCAAAATGCACAGATAACATTAGTATGTATTAATAGAACGTAAATATAATTAATCATAATAGGATGTTCCTGACAGATTATCACTGCTGTTGATAAAATATAATTAAAATTGTCTGGTCAGATTTTCAGTGCAGATAGAATTGTCATCTCTCTTCTTTCTGTGTGTCTATCTACAGAATGTTACACTTCTAAAAATCTCATTATTTCATGATGTTTCTGRGAAAAAAACAATTCAGGGCTGCAAGTCATTTACATAATATGATTAGTGAAAAKCCATACAAAAGAATGAAGGCCACACCAACAAAGACAGAAGCTACAACTAACTCCAGAGAGGGCAGGAATTTTAGGCACCATTCTCTCAAAAGTTTGTAAAGAAAATGGAACAGATGACTCTTGTATTCCGAAGACTGCATGCCCATGTGACGGGAAAGCATTCAAATCCAAGTTTTGCATTATTCAAAGACAGCTGGACTTTATTAGACAAGAATCCACTGAAAGCTCCACAAAATGATGAAGTCATAAGAGGACTATTCAGGCAGCTGAAACTGCTTTAAAAAAAAAGGAAGACAATATTTTGAGGAGATTACAATACTAAGAATGAGAGTAGCATGCAGGAGGTGACCCTGAAACCACTTTTCAATGTGTTTTCCAGTAAGAGAATGAAGTAGGGTCTACTGGCAGTAGGAGGTGGTGGGCWTGGATACAAAGGAAGAGTTTCTTTGTGCACTGCCACCATATCACTGGAACCCGTAGTGCAGGATGTTGAGAACAGTAATTTTCTGAGGGCTCAAGAAGTGCCATGGCAAACAAATAGGAGGAAAGCTCATAGCCTCCCCTACTCCTCCACTGGAGCTCCCTTGCTTAAGCAGCATCCTATAACAGAGCACCTCAAACRAGATATGGGAACAGTGCTTTATGTTCAACATGGATTCGGGTGCCCGTACACAAACAAGGCCATGTTCACAACTCCTGTCAATGAGTGTGAACTCTCACTATAGTGTACATACAAAAAAAGTAATATAAGGCAACACAGTATTTTCATTACATCTATTATCCTTTCGCAGAATTAATTCCACAAATTCATATCCACTATTTAGGCAATATTGCATTTTTCTCATGACAGAAGCGACAGAAAGTAGGACTATCTCAATGTATTATCGTGTTAGTGTAATGCAGTTGATCAAATATAACCTATTATTGTAATTTAAAAATTACTTGCAGCTGTTTTGAGTTATATCATCTGAAGAAAGATGTAATAGAGTATAAATAAAGATAGAGCAGAAAATGATATGACTGAGAACAACATGCACATCCACACTTGTAGATGACCTTCCTATGTATTTTTCTGTCTTGATATATGAAAATTGATGCAATACCTTTTTAAAAGCAGGTTGGGCCTACCTGTTTAACCATCCTGACTAGGTTCACTTGGAATGGAATCAGTTGTAGTTGGAGGTTTTATGAATATAAAGATTAATGAATTTGTACAATTTGGGCATGCAAAGCATTTTTATCAGGCATATTCCATTTAGAATAAGCAGTAAACCATATATAAGGGGTGTGTCAAAGTTTACTGAATAGGGCCCTTGGTAGCTAATGTAACATTTCTCCAACAAATCAAAGGTATTGTTCTGTGCTCACATGAATATACAGTAGCCATTACCTTAAATTTAAAACTCACTGTGAGCAGCAAACACACTGTGGGGATATGAAGGCCATATTGTATCAGTGGAGTCTGCAGAGATTTTCTTCATATGGCTTTGCCTGGTTGAAATATATGTTGCAGTTGAAAGCTAAAGGGATTACTTTTGAATAGTCATCACAAAGGTTGATTATATTCGTATATCATTTAGCTGGACCCTGCAGGCTATTATTCCATTAGCTGTGCTGGCCCTGCACTGTCAAAAAGTTGATCGTATAATGTAAAAAGGGTACATGCTATGTTAAGGTATGTGGAGTAACTYGAAGCAGTAATCTTTTAAGAGCAGCACAGCTCTGTACTTGAAGGTAGATTGCATTTAAAATAAATACCCACAAAATKGAATAAGTACAATAAACCTACCTCTGTTTCCTATTTTTCCTTCTTTGAATAGCCTGTATGTAATTTGAGTAAGTTAATTGCAGCAGGTAAGATATTGGCTATGGAGTATTTTTTCATCCTCACAGCCAAAGRACTTCACCTCAAAATAGCTGTGTCTTTACATGAAAACCCTCATGGAAATGTTTCCGGTGAAATAGGTTTGCTGATTATGCTTCCCTTGCACATGCAAACACACACACATTTTCTTTCAGTGCTTAATAAAATGGATCTTCAGACGCTTCCATTATGTGGATGCCTTAATATTATTTTATGCTAAAACATGGACAGCGCATTAGATTGAAAGCATCTTACTGTTCCAGGAGGCAGAGTAATCACGGACTATCCCTAGATAGCAAATGCTCCCTTTGGGGAAACAATACCAACAACACAGGCTAATGAATCACAGCAGTTATTAATCATGGGCATTTGGAAAAGCCACACATAATAGAGATGGACTCTCAGAATTGGGAAGGTTAAAAGGTGGGACCAAAGAAAAGATAGAAGACGATCCAATCACATTTTAGAATAAGTTTGTGGATGAGTATTTGCTTCAGTACAGTTGTACCCATGCTTGCTTTCTAAGAAGGCAGAGAAAGAGAAACTAGGCAGCTCAGTTCTCTCAGCTTTCAGATCCTTGAAAGACAATTTGGCAAAAATAAATAAATAATAAACACACACATACAAGACCCTTAGGGCTTATGGCCTAGTTGGAAGTGAGACAGTGCTTCTTTTAGTAGACAAAGTTGTTTAATTTAAATTGTAAAAGCAAGAGTTGGTTCTCTTTCAGT